GTGTGTGTGTGTGTGTGTGTATTTAAAGATAGTCAGGACAACAGCTTATTTCTGAGAGAAAACTCTAAGGCTCACATTTTATATTACCTGTGATCCTGAGTAGAGAAGGAAGATACACTTTTGAAGGTGCTGAAAATAGTTTACCTATCTGTTTTTCCTTAAGATCCCACTGCTGGTCCCTCTGCTTCAGATCAAAGCACCTGGTACTTGGATGAATCTACATTAAGTGACAACATAAAGAAAACCCTTCACAAATTTTGTGGTCCTTCTCCTGTTGTGTTTAGGTAAACTCTTTCATTTTTTTCCTCAACAACTTGTAATTCACTAATTCAAATACAGTCCATTCTGTTACAATATACCAAGTCCTTAACGTCCCTCTGTTGTGCACTCCTAGACAGGCAGCAGAAGTGGGTGGTTTATTGAACCGAGGTAGATGGTTACCAGATCATTTAAGTAAGTGGGTTGCAAATAGTACAGGTCCACCCTTTAGTTATGAATTGTCTGCATATAGTCACAAAGCTAATGTTTAGAGTTCTTCTTTTTAGTTCCAAGTTAGTATTTATGCAAGTACGAATACAGTGGTGCCTCGCTTAACGAGCGCACCGTATAACGACGAAATCGCATAGCAATCCGTTTTTTCAGATCGCTAATGCGATCGCTCAGCGTTTTTCTAATAGGGCAAAATTCGCTTTGCGAAGACCGGTAAGCGTTTCGCTTACCGATCTTCGCAAAACGAAGCCCGACGATCAGCTGTTCGGCAGCCAAAATGGCCACCGGAAGCCCGGAAATGGCCCAAAATGGCCGCGCGCAGCGTTTTCGTGCCCTCGTTAAGCGAGGCGAGGGCGCGAAAATGGCTGCCGGCCATTAAGAAGCATCGCTGAACGGTGAGTATTCGGCCCATTTGGAACGCATTAAACCATGTTTAATGCGTTCCAATGGAATTTCCTGCCCCGTTCAACGATGCTTCAGCATAGCGAAGGTTAATCCGGAATAGATTAACCTCGCTATGCGAGGCACCACTGTACTTTATTGCTATACTGCCTGTGACGTTCCACCCAGTGTTCCCTGTTTGCTTCCCCCAAACACAGGTTCACCCTCTGGATACATTTACTGTACTCTTTCTTCCGCTACCCCTAGTGGATCTCTCATCCAAACTGCACCATATATGCATCAGACACATGCTGCCAATATAACTTGTTTATCATTTGGTTTTTTTAAAATCACAGATGTTCTTTCTATTATGACCAGCATTAGGTTTTTCAGTAATTTGAGCTAGAGTAGCTCTTCTATGTGATCAGACCAGACTGGGTACCCTTAGCTTCCTGTGTGCATCAGTGAGCTTTGGGCCCTTGTCAAAGTCACTCAGATGTTTTCACTTGCCCATATTTCCTGCTTCCAACAAATAAAATTCAAGAATTGACTGTTTGCTTGCTACCTAATATATTCCATTCCTTGACAGGTGCAATTGTAATTATATAAACAGTCCTATTCACTTCATCTGTCAGTGGTTTTAATGTTATGGCTGATCAGTGTATAAACAAGCATAAAAAATAAAAAAATAAAATAAGAGTAATAAAATACACATTCTCAGAAAGTAACAAGATGTGAGATTAACTTGAAGAACTTGTGAAACAGGCAAACAAATTCAGTCTTTCCATGGCTCCTTTAATGAATTTAGTGGTCCTATAGAATACCGTATTTTTCCATATACTTCTGTCTAAAATTTTTAGACTAAAAATTGAGGGTCATCTTATACATGGAAGTAAGCTGAGGAGAGAACAAAAACAAATGGAGGGAAAGCAAGGGTCAAAGTGATTCTGCAGGGCTTTGATCCCTGCTTTCCCCTCTGCTTGCTAAATCCCATGGGGCTTAGCAAAATGAGGGGGGAAGGATCAAAGCAATCCCCTGGATGTATACGGGGAAAAGGGATCAAAACGATTGTGCAGTTGAAGGATTGCTTTGATCCCTGCTTTCCCCTCTGCTTGCTAAATCCCATGGGGCTTAGCAAAATGAGGGGGGAAGGATCAAAGCAATCCCCTGGATGTATACGGGGAAAAGGGATCAAAACGATTGTGCAGTTGAAGGATTGCTTTGATCCCTTTCCCCCTCCTTTTGCTAAGCGCTGCGGGGCTTAGCACGAATGGAGAAAGCAGAGATCAAAGCGATCCTGCAACGCTTTGATCCATTTCCCCCTACACTTGCTGAGACCCACTTAGATTTCTTCATTTTGGATAAGAATAGTGGGTGTGTGTGTCTTATACATGGGTACATCTTATACATGGAAAAATACGGTATACTGTATAGTAGTCTGTGCCAACTAGCAAATAAAATGACACAAAGGAGAATTGTTCTTGATCGCAGTTGTTAAGAGTTTTGAGATTTTTACTGTATTTTAATTGTAAGTCACCCGGCGACCTTTGGGTAGTGTGGGCGGCATATAAGGTAAATAAATAAGTAAATAAAATAAATAAAGATACGGGTCCCTCAGATCTGTATACAGAGGACATTCTATTAGAAAATGTACCTTGCCCTCCATTTTAGAGCATCCTGCTGGGCAATGTTTGCCTGTACCCTGTTGGTCCATCTCTGTATCTCTCTTAGCTGTAGTGAGTTTAGTCTGCAGTCAGTCAACAGTTGTCTTGGCTCATGTGAACTAGTAAGGGGCAAATATGGGGACAGCTTTCCAAAAGGCAAGAAAAAGCCTATTGGAGAAGCAACTAACTACAGATACCATAGTAGTCTGGATATCAATATCATATAGTCTTTTATATTTTCTCAGGCAGCCTCATATCCCCTCTTGTGGTAGGCTGGGGAGCAACCCAGCTTCAATATAATTATGGATTTCTTAGCTGCTCCGGAGCCCCTTCCATTTCTTTATAGGCCAATGAGACAAGCAGTGAGGCCATATGGTACACTATCTTCAGCCAAAACAGCATGGCTGCTTTCTTTGCAAGAGTAGCCATGGAGTAGCAAGATATCTCAGACTGTGGCCATGGTAGTAGATCATGATGCCCCTAGTGCTCTGGTTAAAAATTTGTGTTGGACAGATTCCAATATAGTAATATTTGAAAAAAGCCTGCACTGGAGCTCCATAGAGCACCTGAGGGAGAAGTTTTTCTTTATACAGTTGTATTGACGGTGCCACCATCACTTCTCAACCTTTTGGCTAAGATCAAGTGAAGTTAGTATTTATGTTGTCATGTTCTTTGTATTAATCAGTACACTCAGTCAGTTGGAATGACAAGTCACAGGTTTGTTTGTGCAAAACAGTAGCTATTTTTTTTCCTCCAGAAACATTAGTCACGAGAGGCCCCTTTCTCTGTCATTGCCTTCTCCACATGGAATGGAATCTATCTGCAGAGAGGTTCTTGTTAGAGTGTAGTCTCTCCATATGAGATGAACTCCAGTTTTTCATGGATCTTGCTCCTGTGAAGAGCCTACATACGAAGAGGGACTTCTCCCTTGCTAAGGTATTGTTTTCTATATGGAGAAGGCAACAACAGAGAGGGGAGGGAAATGCCTCCTCACATGTTGGATAAAAATAGGGCAAGGAACTTCTCAAAGGCTTACATCTCTCCTTTTGTGATAGGTGAATGGCCATGTAGATTGCTGCAGCAACAGAGCTGATTTTCCCTCCTCCACTCAAATGATCTGGTTGTGCTGTCCTGTCTACGTGCATGCTCTTTGTGGGTCAATAGTTATGGGCAGGTTCCTGTTCTAGCCCACTTTTGCTATTTTAGAAAGCATTATGGGCTGGGATTATGTTTTATTACATTTTCCCTAGCCTTGTTCCTCATTCATGTTACTATGAAACAGCACATAGAAGCAATAAGAAGGCTTGGACAAAACCAAGTCATCGAGAAGTGTTATACTAATTAATTCCAGCATAGTCCCCATTTTGTTACAGAGTATCTGTCTTTGAGTCTTGAAAAGAAAACTTAGCCGAAATATTTCCTCAGTGGAGTCTCATACTGCTGCTCTGCAAACACTTGTAAATTATTAGGGACTTCTCTTTGGATTCTTGGTGTCCACATCTTGGGCATTGGGATTTCAAGGGGTTCAGTTTGCCCTCTCATCTTAATGTTACCATAGGAAGCCTATCCTTCTTGCTGCACTTAGAAGCAGGCAGAGGCTACTAATTACAATTTTATGGGTAATAGAGTGTTGCATTTCTCAAGGAAAAAGTGTTTGATACAGACATTGCACATAATTTGTAAAAAGAAATGTGATTTTGAATTTGAGTGAGTAAAATTTAGAGTGGAATCCTCTTCTTGCTTATGATGAATCATTATATCAATATAAGAAAAGGCCAGCCTGAGACCCCAGTCCTCAGATTCATGCAGAATGCCCCAACCTTTTTGAGTCAGCTGGAATGCTGATCACAGGATAATTGAGTTGTTCACTCTCAAAACCTTCTAGAGATGCAAAGGAGATGCCTCAAAATATTTTGATGAAATTCTGTTAGGTAATCCTCCCAGAATAATAGCTGTGCTATGAATGCCACAGACTGTGGAGTGTGGTGTGAGAACTACATAGCCAGTCCACATAGGCTGTGGACCTCCCTAAAAAGTCCGTATTTGTATTAATGAGCCAAGATCAGTCTTTCAGCTTCATGTTTCCACTTCCACAAAAAGCATAAATGGGCCCTCATTATGACATTACATAGTTAGAGGCTCTTCCCCTTTGAAATAGGGTGTGAATATATGGAAATGAGTTATGTCTTGCACAAAGGAGTTGTCTCTTAATCTGCTCTGGGAGAAAACTCCGTGAGAGCCCATCAAAAAGGGGGACTGTATGGAGGTGGCCAGCAGATCTGAGGAAATAGAGCCTTCAGGAAATGAGGTTTAGTAACAAAATTTCTATATTTTGAGTTCTTCCATGTTGAAGTAATACTGATATATTTGCATCTGTTGTCTGTCCCTTCTCAAACTTCCTAGTGATGTGAACTCCATGTACCTGTCCTCTACGGAGCCTCCTGCTGCTGCTGAGTGGGCCTGTCTCTTACGCCCCCTGAGAGGGAGAGAACCTGAGGGTATCTGGAATTTGCTTTCTATTGTTCGGGAGATGTTTAAGAGACGGGACACCAATGCAGCCCCTCTTTTAGAGATCCTAACAGATCAGTGTCTGACATATGAACAGGTACTATTTTGTTTTATTTTCATTTGAGACAACTGTGATTTGGCTCACAGAAAATTCTCAGGATGATATATAAACAAATAATCGCTTCACTTGTGTGGGGTACTTAGCAACTGTGCAGGAAGCTTTGAGGGCCACTGGGGAATCTGGTAACAGGCACCTTGGCCTAGATGGAGAACATTCTGCAGGTTGGAGTTGAAGGTGCTTTTTAGTTTGAGCCTTTTAAATAGGCAAAATGTTTCCACTGTTAATGGATGTAAAGAATGTAAGTTTGGCATCTGACGTGTGTATCCTTTCTCTACAGATAACTGGCTGGTGGTACAGTGTAAGGACATCTGCTTCCCATAGCAGTGCAAGTGGGCATACTGGTCGTAGCAACGGTCAGTCAGAAGTGGCTGCTCATGCTTGCGCAAGCATGTGTGATGAGATGGTGGTTCTTTGGAGGCTTGCAGTTTTGGATCCAACCATCAGTCCTCATCGGTAGGCAGCAGTGGGGCCAGAGAGTCCATAATGAAACTGTAAAATGTTCCATCTAGATAACATACAACATCTAGCAATAGTCATTTATCTGTCTTTTTTATGTAAATGTTTACACCCTGATGCTTTCTTTGCTTGAGGTGGTGGCATATTCAGAACATGGGTGAGGTGAAACTACTATTAAAATTTTGCTTTCTGTATTCCCACCATGTCCTGAGTGCTTCTGAACTATTTCATGACTCTTTTTCAAAATACACAGATGATTTGGATGTTGTTTGTTGTAATTTGTTACAAAGGTAAAAAGCTACATAAATACCGGAAAGATGGGTCTACTTATGATTCTAGTTAAAGGTACAGTCTCATTTGGAGACTGCTGCTGCTGCCAGATTAACAGAAGATAGAGTGGAACACTGTTCCATGTTAGCTATGTGAAAGACAGAGATGGCAAAAGAGTGCATATATATTGCCAGCTACTTCCATTAAAGAGCCTCAAGTAGCAAGGCTGCAAAAGAAAAAAAGCAAAAAAAAAAAAAAAAAAAAAAAAAAAAAAAACACCATATGAATCCTTGGAGGGTTACTGATAGTCAGGGTGGATCATATAGGCCTAGGTAGATCAATAGTTAGACTCAACATAAGACAACTTTATCTTGTTTATGGTTGTCTGAGGCTGTATGCTGAGACATATAAATTGGATTGAGTAATAATAAAACTTGAGCTGTTGTCAAAGCTGGATGACAACATGATATAGTCAGAGAAGAATATGAGATGAAATGACCTAGTATGAGAAACCAGCACTTGCCTCTTTTTTGTTTGTTTGTTTCTGTATCTCATGTGTTCCTTCTCTTCCATGATGCTAGGCGAAGAGATCTGTGCACACAACTGAGACAATGGCAATTGAAAGTAATAGACAATGTCAAAAGAGGACAGCACAAAAAATCCCTTGAGAAGCTGTTCCATGGCTTCAAGCCAGCTGTGGAAGCTTGTTACTTCAACTGGGAGGAGGCCTATCCCATTCCAGGCATCACCTACAGCAGCGCAGACAAGAAGAATTCCTTTTGTTGGGTGAAAGCCATCCAGCAAAGGAACTGTCGATCCCAGTGTGCAGAGTCTTGTGATTCAGGAAGAGCGCATGGGCTGGATGGTGCAGGGACATGCTTACAGCTTGGAGATAGATCACGCCTTGCCTCTCAGGAGCCAGCTGTACGCCCTAAAGAACTTATTGGGAAGCGGAAGGTTGTCTCTGAAGGTCCCCAGCGGGTTCTGAGACGACTTTCAACAGAAGGTGATAAATCTACATACAAAACAGCTGTGACCAAGGGCAAGCTTCCACTGGGGAAGAACTTGGCCAGCAAACACAGTGGGAAGCGTCGTATGAGCAGTGAGGATAGTTCTTTGGAACCAGACTTGGCAGAATTGACTTTAGATGACAGCAGTTTGGCTCTTGGGGCAGAAGCCAGCAATACATTCAGTTTCTCAGATAGTCCCTTGAACAGAAGCTACAGGGACACCTATGAAGATGATGGGGGAGTGTATTTCTCAGAGGCTACAGAGCCTACCCTCAGGAGTAGTCCCTCCACCAAGAAAAATCCAAAAGAGTCAGTGGGGGAAGTGGGGAGTGGAGATGATGATCTCCCTTGCCCTGATGAAAGTACTGGTGGGATATGTTTGAAGCCAAAAGAGGTTGGAGAGAATGGCGCAACTGGAGGAGAAGAGGAGGAAGATGACTACCAGGTTTACTATCTGAATCCACAGGAGGTGAATAAGGAGGAGGATGAGAAGGCTGAGGGAGGGACAGAAGAGGAGCAGGACATGTTTGCTGGGATAAAGCCCTTGGAGCAGGAAAGCCGCATGGAGGTAAGGTCACATATATATTATTTGTGTATTTATTAGATTTATATACCGCCCATGTAGAACGTATCTACTCTGGGCAGTTTACATATAATATAAAAATAAACTAAGATAAAAGCCAGATTAATCCAAGATGGGAAAGAAAACAGAAAGAGGGGCGAAGAAGAAAGAGGAGAGAAAAGAAAAAGAAGAAAAGGGGACATAGGCTAGGTAATGGCTGTAGGGAAGGCCTGCCTGTATAGCCATGTTTTCAAGCTAGTCTTTAAGGCCCTCAGCGAGGGAGCCAGGTGGATCTCTACAGATAAGTTGTTCCAAAGGCGGGGGGGCCACTGCTGAGAAGGCCCAATTTCTGTTTTTTCCCCACCTCTCTTGGGGCCAGGCCCCTCAGCTGCCTGGCCTGATTGGAGCGGGTAATACGGGTAGAACTGGGCGGAAGAAGGCGGATATCGGGGGCCTAAACCATTAAGGGCTTTATATGTAATTGTTAACACATTGAAATCAATGTGGAAGCTGATGGGTACCCAGTGTAAGGCGGCCAAAGTGGGGGAAATATGGTGAAATCTTTTAACCACAGTTAATAGCCTGGTCGCTGTGTTCTGAATCATCTGAAGCTTCTGCATGAGTCTCAAAGGAAGCCCCACATAGAGAGCGTTACAGTAGTCTATTCTTGAGACTATGAGCACATGGATCAGCATGGTGAGCTCCTCCGTGTCTAAATAGGGACGCAGCTGGGCTATCCGCCGAAGCTGTAAGTGGGCAGACCGAACTGCAGAATTATTTTATTTATTTATTTTATTTATTTATTTTATTTATTTATTTTATTTATTTATTTTATTTATTTATTTTATTTATTTATTTTATTTATATCCCGCCTATCTGGTCAGTTAAGATGCTACCTGAGTCTCCATTGTAAGTGCCGGGTCAAGATGGACCCCCAGTCACCAGCCCCAAAAGAGAGGGAGTTCCCCAAACTACTAAAATTGGGGCTCCCCATCTGCAGGACCTCCGTCTTGTCCGGGTTTAACCTTAGTCCACTTGACTGCATCCATTGCAGAATGGTCCCCAGGCAGCGCTCAAGAGACGGAATGTTATCCACTGCAGATGGAAAAAGGGAGATGTAGAGCTGGGTGTCATCAGCATATTGGTGACACGAAGCTCCACATCCCCGGATGACTCCCCCCAACGGCCTCATATAGATGTTAAACAGCATTGGGGAGATAATCGAACCCTGTGCCCCCCCAAAACTGAGGGACCACGGGGCTGATACATTCTCCACAAGCTGCACTCTCTCAGGACGACCCTACAAGAAGGACTGGAGCTAAGCGACAGCAAGGCCACCAATCCCCAACTCAGAGAGCCTCCCCAGGAGAATACCATGGTCGACGGTTTCAAAGGCAGCTGAGATATCAAGTAGGATGAGCAAGGACATTTTGCCCCTGTCGGCCTCCCTAAGTAGGTCATCCAGCAGGGCGACCAATGCTGTTTCCGTGCCGTAGCGCAGCCCAAAGTCCAAGTGAAACAAATCCAGGGCATCAGTTTCATCTAAGAGAGCCTGAAGCTGATCAGCCACCACCCTCTCAACTACCTTTGTGCCCCTATTCCCAAATTTTGAGTTTGGGCAGACAAGGTCCCCAACATTTGATATTTTAATTTTTTGGAGGCCGTTTCAATCTTTCCAATGAGTAGAGTCTGTATCCTTAACTAAAGTCACCAACCCTCCAATACCTTTCCGAAGCTTCCACTATTTTATCAACAAACCAAACCCACAAACATAAACCTCCCCTAGGTACTTCCTCCCATCCTTACACAGATATTATAGTATATCAATCAACTTTTAGCCCAACAATTTAAATTACAACCATGGCAATGTTTTCAGAGTCCCACACAGTCCAGCCACAAAGAATCCAGACTAAACAGCAGACACAGGGGATCGGTCTCTCCAGTAGATAGCCTTATAATCTGTCAAACCCCAGTCCCGGTTTTCCTCAGTCTAGACGTTTGCGTCTTCTCGCTGATGGTTCACAGTCCGTTTTCTTGCTTCCAAAAGCTTATTCCTCCTCCTCCAGAAACCCAGCAAGCTTCTGTTATCAGAGTCCCACACAGTCTAGAAAGAAAGATCCAGGCTAAACAGCATTCACAAAGTTTCAGTCTCTTAAAGCCTGACCAGTGGTATTTCATTCTGGGATTTTTTCCAGAAACAAGAAGATTTTTCCGTCTTACTGTCTCTCTTTCGGCCTTGAACCAGCCTGCTGTTTAAGAATCAGTTTCGTTTTTGAAGCAGCAGGCTGGTAAGCAAAACTCGCCACTCCTTATCTTCTTTCAGCCAAGTATTTTCACTCTAATTTATTTTTCATCTTAAAGGGGTTGTTCCTAAATCAAAGGCTTCAACTTACTTTGTTATTGTATATTTTCAACGCTGTGTTACTTGTTCTCCTCTCCTTGCGGGGTGGGAGTGGAGTTGCTCACAGCTCTCTGCCAAAATGGCTCCCGCATCCAATCTGTGCTTGAGTGAATTTTCAGAGGGGAGAAATATCAGGTTGCTGCCCAATCTTCTTCCTTCTGATGCTCACCAACAGCTTCAGAGAGACCTCTCCTGATCTCCCCTTTGAGTCCCCATTTCTAGAGGGACCCCAGACCAGGCGGTTCCAGCTTTTCCCAGGATCTATTCCCGGGAGCTGCTGGCTGCACTGCGACGAAGCTCTGTCTCCCAAGACTGTGCATTGTTATGCTGGTGGGATTTACAATGCAGTGGAAGCTCCATAGGATTCTGGCCTGTGAACCTAGGAATAACATTAGCCCTAGGTTGAAGTTTCAGGGTTTAAACATGTTGAAAAATTTTGCCCAAAGTTGTTTGCTGTGTATCTTCCACTTGAACTCAGTATTGATTTTGTGTGTGGGGGGGAGCACATATTGCATATATTTTGTTTGCAACCTTTTTCTTTTAATAGATCCTGTTTGCTTGTGCAGAAGCTCTTTATGCTCATGGTTACAGCAGTGAAGCATGCCACCTCACAGTCGAGCTGGCAAAGGACTTGTTGGCCAATCCTCCTGATCTCAAGGTGGAGCAGCCCCCAACCAAGGTATATATTTGCTATGGGAACAGTTATGGTGGAGAGATCTAGTGCAAATAATACCTGAAAGGAAATACTCTCTATTTTAGCACTGTTCTTTTATATATTATTTATTTATTGTAAATATATTTATCCCACTTTTCTCCTTAAAAGTATCTAAAGCAGCTTACAACAGTTAATTACTTTGATGTGGGCAAGCTACCTTGTTATTGCTTGCCTCAGATTCATGAGTATTTTTGTTGGACTTGGCATGCTTTTTTTCCCCCCCGCCTCACCCTCCCAGTCTATTCGAAGCAAATCTGAATTATTTGGCTCTGTACATTTTAGGCAAATGTGTGTTCATTGATATAATTTTTCTACTATGTACTGTTACTAAATCCTCCTTTTATTCTGACATTGTTATCACATGCCAGCATTTTCAAAGCCATCTCCTTTGTTTCCTCGTGGTTAAAAACTGAACTCTTAGGATCCTAAATTCAGCACTCATTCACATGTTTTCTGCAGCTGTCTCAAATTACATGACATATCCTACCTTCAGTTTAAGTATTAATTCTTTTGGTGCCCATGCAAATTTGTTAAATGATAATATGACAAAAAAGATTGCAGAAGGAAGGCAGGGAGAGGTCAGAAAAGCTGAACAAGTTGTTTTCACTGCAGAAACTATTTGATACCAGTGGTTTAACTGTTTTTATGAAAGAGCCTCTGAAACAGGTAATCATATGAGAGTCTCTGAAAATCAGATAACAATATTGAAGTTTTATAGCTTACTGATAAATTAATAACTGAGTAGATTGAATGGTTTGTCAGATGCATTGATAGGGCACTTAGCTTCCTCAGGAGTCCTATAGAGATTTATAGAACAGAATCCATGGTTCATCATAGTTGACATCCCAGTAAAGAGTTAATCCCAGAATGAAGCCAGGCAATCATTGATAAGCATTTCAAAATTCATCTGGGTATCTAAGTAAAAGTATTTTCTTTGTTGCAATAATTCCAGACAACCCAGAGTTTATAAATTCTACACATCTTTTATTTCTACTTGGTTCTATAACACAGGGTTATTTCAGAGCTGTTATAACATCTAATCATCTTATAGTTGTAAAAAAAACTGTAGGCACATTACTTAAAAACATTCTTGCGACTTATAAAAAGTCACAGGTGTTAAAACTTAAGTTGTAAGCAAAGACTTCAAAATACAGGAGCTTATGGCTTTTAAAGGCAGAAAATACATCTTTAAGTATTAAATTTTTCAAGAATAAAATTGTATAAAGTAAAAAGCATTATTTAGTCTCTAAGCATGTTAAGAAGACAAAAACATTTCTAAAGGACATCACCCAGCCTGTTAAAGTTTAAGAAGGAAATCCTCTTGTTGCTGCTGATTTGCCCCAGTTATATCAATGTTGTCGATATTCACCATGTGTAGCATAACAGAAAGCTTTCTTGTTATGAATGAATGCCTCATCCTGTCTGCAATAGGAACTCCATTGTATCTATCATAGCTTAAGGGTGTGAGATATCTCTCACCATTTGTATTCTCAGCTTTTGTTTATATAACTTGCTATAAAGCAGCGGCTGTACCTGCTTACAGGCAGTGATTATTGCTTCTCAGTAATGGTTATTTATCTCGCTTGCTTCCTAGAGTTTAAAATAGCTTAAAAGAATCTATGTAAACAATCTGATGTCACCCTTTTCAAAACAAATACTATTCTTTATTGTCATGTGTTTATTCTTTATTGTCATGTTTTTATTATCTCTTAAAAGCAAAACAAACAGGCAGTTGCCAAAGAAATGACCCTACTCTGTTGGAGCCAATTCATTTTTTAAAAAACAGTTTTTTCATGCCACAAGTTTAAAAGTACTTTCATTTTAGGACAATTTTTAAGGCAATTTTCTGCACCCTTGTAATTTTTAGAGATTATGAGTAGCAGCAGGTATTATGGATATTGGTTGGGCAATGTGTGGATGTTGTTGGCTACAGCTCCTATCAGCTCATCCAGTGGTGAATGATGACAGAACGTACAGTTCAGAAATATGTTGAGCCACATATGTTCTATCCTTGAAGTTGATGCTTGTGCTCCTAAAATGCTTTGGAGTAAAGTCCTTTCATTAGAATCTTGAAGAAAGTCAGTAGTCCATGGGGTAAGAAGATATCTCAGTAACATCTTAAAGAACAGAAAGCTGAGGTAGGAGTGGGGAAATAGCTCTTGTAGTAGAGAGAAGTGACTAATTGGATTACCGTATTTTTCTCACCATAAGATGCACTTTTCCCCCCACAAAACAGGGGGTGGTGGAAAGTCTGTGCGTCTTATGGAGCGAAGAAAACAGATTATATTTTCCTGTTTTCTTCTCCTAAAAAATTGGCGTGTCTTATGGAAAGGTGCGTCTTATGGAGTGAAAAATACGGTACATATTTGTTTGAATTGTATGGTGAGGTGGCCATTCCTGCCTTTGATACCGAGTTAGTCAGGATGACAAAATGACGCACGTACTCTGAAAACATCTAAAAGGATCATTCTAATTTATCAGCTGTGCAACAAAATCATAGCTTTCAAATCACAGCCATAGCTTTATATATCCACAGAGGACATCTGAACTGGCTGACTGTCCAGTAAAGAGATCTTAGTATTGTGGTGGATGGCTGAAGAGAAATGTTAGCTTGATCTGTGGTAGCAGTTAGGGGAAAAATAAATTCTGTCCTAGGAATTATTAGCAGAGGCATTGGAAATAATACTGCCAGGAATGGGTTCAATTCATATGCATCTACAAAATGGGGTCTCGTGAGGAATTATGAAGCGGGGGGGTGCTCTTTTAAAAGAACCCAGGGCAGTTCTCTTACACTTAACGAAGTAACATGCAACTGAGTTCTAGAGCTAGTTGAATAATTTTTTGCAGCTAATTCAGCATCTAAAAGTAAGTTGACTAGATAAGTTCAGCTCGTTTTATTGATTAATTTACATCCTACCCTTTGTCAAGAAGATGTTTCTCCATCCCATTTAAATCCTTGCATGATATTCATATGCTTGAATGGAGGTCAGATATTTGGGGGACATAAGCAGTAACATTTATTATATATTAGTACACTGAAGAGAAGCACTGACCTTATTTGCATGGTACATTTAGCCAGAGTACTGTAGGAATCCTGACTTTCATCAGATAAGCAGTGATCTGGTGAATGCTGTGCAGTTCCTTCCATTTACCTTGGGAGCAGCTAAACTGCACATAAGTGGTCCAGGGTTTTGTATTGTTGTTTTTTTTGGTGTACAAAACTGATAAGAGAACCAGCTGTTTAGTTTCTCTCTGACAAGCACAAAATAATTTCTAAAAACAAACCTTTTATTACTCCTTTAGCTTGTTGGGGTGGGGAGAGCTAACTTTTGGTGTTTTTTTTTTTCATAAACACACCACCAGACCCGAGATCCAGAGTAGCATCATATGTTGTCCTAGAGTTTCTCTTAGTAGTATTGATTCTTAGCAATATATCTTGCTTTAGGGTTAAGATTTGTATCATAGTGTAAACAAACAACTAAACACAATCCTTTCCTGGTGGTAACAAAACTTGATTATAGTGCCCTTTTGTGAACATTTTTGGGACCATACCAAATTAGATGAGTTTGAATGTGTTTTTTAAAACAAAGCTTCTGGGTGGAATTCAGCTGCGTCTTAATAATGTCCCATTGAAGGTAGTGTTATAAGTTTCATTCCTGAAGTGACTTTTCATATGGATTTCTCTGAAATCTCTGTTCATTCCACAGGGAAAGAAAAACAAGGTCTCTACCAGCAAGCAGACATGGATGGCAACAAACACCTTATCTAAAGCTGCTTTCCTACTGACAGTACTGAGTGAGCGGCAGGAATACCACAACCTAGCTTTCCAGATTGGCATGTTTGCTCTGGAATTGCAGAGGCCACCAGCCTCTACTAAGGCTTTGGAGGTATGTGTGGTGTTAGTATAGCCTTTGTCAGTCTTGTAACATTTACAGTGAACTCCATTGTCTCTTAAGAAACATGGTAAATAGTCAGTCTGTTCATAGACTACCAGATGAAATTGTGTCATAGAAAATTCTTGGTGTTTCAGCTGTTAATATGGATTCTTCATGTGAAAGCTGCAAAGTCATGCAGTTGTGCTTCAGATGATTTTGCTTCAAGGTTTCTATTCTTAAGCTTTGATATTTTAAGGCTGAATTTCGATTGAATGTGAAATGGCTGTAACTGGTTATAAATGGATATTATCATATAGGAGTCCATGAATTGTTGTTTCTAGGTAGCCTTTTCTCTAAGATGGCTTGGCTTTAGTTCCATACTCTGCTCCAGTGCTGAACTACTGTTCCAGGAATCTCATGAGCAATTAGGTTGATTACTTCACCAAAAACTCTCTGGTTCAGAGTACATAATTTGAGACAAGACTTTGATGTTTGTCTATGGGGGAGTGGCGCCTGATGTGCATAGAGCACAGGTTTCCAGCCTGTGGATTGTAACTCTCAAGGGGGTTGTAAAGTGTTTTTGGCAGGTCATTGTGGTTTTCAGAGGAGGAGGAGGACATGTCCCCCTTAAATTTACACCACCTTCTCTACTTGCTTTCTGTACACACTTCACTTATTTGCTTGTAAACCCCCCTCCCCATCCAAGCTCTCTCCACTGCCTGTTGGGTGCCTGGGTCCCCCTTCTCTCCTCCATTTCCACTAATGACAGCTGCTCCTCTTTGGCTCTGGTGGCTAGTTGGCTGGTTTGGGCAGGGGGGCAGGACAGGGAAGAGTTGGAGGTGGGGCTTGGCTATAGCCCGTGCAAGCCAGGCTGGCAGTAATGGGTGTTGAGAAGCAAGGAGGCAGCAGCAGGCTGGAAGGGGAGGGGGAAATGGTGGAAGAGGAGGGAAAGACTGCCACTGAATCGATTTTGCTCCTTCCTCACCTCAGCCACACACCACCACTGCCATCTTGGAAGAACAGCTGAGGAGGCAGTGGTGGCAGAGCCACCACTTGAAAGGAGTATGAAAAGGGTGACAGTTCCCTTTCTGAGGGAAAACTCCCCCTCCCCCAGTAAAGCCCAGTTTTAAGCCACCCTCATTACTTCCACCTTCTAGAGCCCATCAAAGGACTGTTGGTTTGGGGGTGGTTGTAACAAAAATTCAGCTGTGAATTTTGAAGTTAGTTGCCCAGATGCAAGTATAGCCATCACATTAAATATTGTGTTAGAATTGGGTTCCAAAAAATCTATTTTTAACATGTTTTCTTTACCCAATTAAAAATGCCTTTTTGTGCAAATGTGGTAGGTCACAGGTAACCTGGCTATTATAAAAGGGAGTTGTAAGTCAAAAAGGTTTGGGGAACACTGGTATAAAGCAATGCCAAAACCAGAGTACTTGATTTTGTACCCATTTTCTTATAGCCTAACAAGCTAAGGGGTAGCTGTTAGTTCTAAACTATGCTTGTAACCCCCCCTCTAAGTATTTGGACTTAGGGGATATGTTACATGATGCTATGATATCTGTGAAGATTCTTAATCATCCAGGTGTGGTTATCTGGAAGTTGAATCATGGCAACTGAACTTCTTGTTAGGTCGACTGGGTTCCCCAATCCTTTGTCCTTCTAATGAGCCTATTCAGACCAGGGGGAAGTGAAACCAATATGGAGGATATAATGGGGCTCTCCTACAAAATCTCCTCCGACTGAAGAAGCTACTTGGATGAATAGTGAAACGTTTCAACCTAACAAAAAAGAAGTCCAGTTGCCATGACCCCAATTTCCAGATGCTACGATGGTTCCCAGCAGTGCTGCCAGTTTGTGGGAATGGATCCCAACAATGGAGACCACCAATTTTATAAGATCCATAGCTGAGATGTGGATATCCAAATTTGTGAGGAGCACATTCTCATTGTAGGGTGTACTCTGTCAGGCTCACTCCCTGATGACAATCTCTTATTCCAGTTCTGCTGGTACTGTAAAATATGTATTCTTTTGTAATCTGATTCTTGCTGATCTCTTCCTGAGTTTGGGTTTAAGTACAGAACAAAACAGTAAAGAGATTTTAAAAATTAAAATGAAGTGATAATAAATTTAAAATTATAGATTAAGTAACTGGGAAAATTTGTTCTGTAAACCTAAGGCATACTATATGGTTGGTGTTCTCTGATTGCTTACTGTTCTTATTTTAAACCAGAGGTCTACAACTCAATTTCTTCTTGGGCCGCATCGGCATTATGGTTGCTCTCAACGGGCCGGTTGTATCTGTAAGACTATACAAATGCTTCTACTCTTATCATATTAAATATAATCCTCCTCATTCAATTATCACTTTCTGAGTCTTCACTGCTTCGAATGCTGGGATTAAAAGTTCCACTGGGCAGATTCCCAGCATCTTTGTGGAGCATTATGGGTGACCGAGTAAGCGTCTGTGTATTGTATACTGCACAATAGCAGTCAACCCTGCGAGGGCCACATGAAAGGGCCTGGCAGGCTGAATTTGGCCTGCGGGCCTTGAGTTTGACACATGTATTCTAAGGCAGTAATCCCCAACCCCCGGTCCCCAGCCTGATCCCGGTCTGTGGCCAGGGCCAGACTGGGCCGTTGAGAGAGACCTCCCCCTGCCCCCGTGCGCACTCACCCCTGTGGTGCCCGTTTGCGCCTGCATGCACGCTCCAGCTTGCCTGCATGAGCGCCGTGCCACCATTTGCGCATGCGTGCGGGTGCACGCAGGCCCACATGAGCCGCGCTGCCATTTGTGTAGGTGTGCGTGGGCTTGCATGAGTGCACACTGCCATTTGTGCAGGCACGCAAGCAGTCATATGCATGCACAAATGGTGGTGCCTGTTCATGCGCCCCTGCGTGCATGCACAAATGGCAGTGTGGCGCTCATGCGAGCACGCACCCACCTGTGCAAGACAGTACACGTGCTTTTTGTGCATGCACGCAAGTGCGGGGGTGCCCCACCTTCCCCAGCTGGTCTGTGGACTGGAAAAGTTTGGGGAACACTGTTCTAAGGGATCATTCAAATAATATAGATATCACTGTAGGTTTAACAAGCTGAGTGTAGGAAAGTACTTGCTTGAATCTCTAATCAGTCTTTGTCTGGTAAGGCCCCACCCCAGTTAGCCCTCTGAATGGCTCTCAGGGTTAGTTTTATGTGTTCCTTATGGCAGAGTTTTTGTGTATTTGGAGAGAATATGAGGTTTCTCTCAAGTCTTCTTTTAGTCACTAGTCGTTTCCAGCAGCTGCTGTCACTGCAGGTTTAGTGAATCTACAGATATTTGGATCACTGCTCTTTTTTGAAAGTTGCCTCGTATGTTTTTTTCCTTATTTGCAGACTTTCTGAAGTCTTGTTTCTTGCAGTTTTCTCCTGGCCTTTGTTGTTAGTACAGTTGTTAGTACAGTTTTTCAAAGCTACATACAAAGCTCCACTATGCACTCCTGTCCTTCTGCCAATTCATGCCTTTTTCCTCAACACACATACTCTCTCTACTTAATGTTGAACTTGTCTTTATATTGGTCCCTCTGAACAATTGCTTTACTAATAAATAGCATTCCACACACATTCTGGTTTCAAAGAGAACAGCTAGAAGACAGGTGTGGAATATTCTCATCCTAACTAGCTGTAATCAGCCATTCTCAATGAGGGGTTCCTGGAACATTTGAAGGAGGCCACAGACTTGAAACAGTTCTTCACACACCACATTAAAAGATTTGTTATGTGATTTATACAGTCCTGACTTGACCTGTATTTCTTCATACTGTGTTTAGGGCAGTGGACAAAAAAAGGTTCAGAATGGCTGCTGTAAATGATTACATTTTGATTTATCCAGTTGTGTGTCAAATTGTAGAATGCCCAATTTGTATAATAACCTTCTTAGTAAAAATAACAGCCTATTGCTTAACTGCAAAACTGCATTTGAACTCTGTATCTCTCTTCAAGCTTCAGTTAGGAGTTAAAAGAAAGTTACTTTACTCATTACAATTAACCCTTTGTACAAAAGATTCCATGTCAGAACTCACCCCCACATTTTAGTTTTTTCTTGCATATTCACAAATTCTTAATGGGTTATCTATCAGGTTCCTCATTCCAAAATGGGAAGAGTACTTTTAAAACTTCGTGTGATTTCTGTTGCTTTTCACATACAGAATGAAATACATAATGTTCAGCTCACCTTTAATGTGATGTCTGTCCTTGTTTTTCTTTGGTGAGCTTTGTTATGTTTTACAAAACATGATGATGCTACACTCAGTCAGTTCTCCCAGTTCACATGTTATTTTTTGCACAGTGAAGGTTCTTGGCAAGTGGAAGTTTCCAGAATAACTGCTTTGGGCAGTATGTTGTTCAGAAAAGCAATATCATTTTATGTGTGCAGGCCCACAGATTTGGAAATTATCCAGCAGCTTCATACATTCCATTGAACTACAGCAAATCTGTGCTATTACAGTTTTACACCTGGTCATCAGTTCATTTGCAAGTCTATACATTTTTCTTAAACATTTCTGGAGACTTAAGTAAATAGTATTTAAAAAGTTTGGTTCAGTGTTGTTTATTTTCACATTTTTAAATTGAAATTCATGTCTTCAAACATTTTTTCAAAAATTTGGATCTTCTGGGAGTTGTCTGTTTAACTTTACTGATTTGATTTTAACATTGGGAAATGATCCAGGGAACCATTTTTGCTGGTCTGCCTGCCTCATATTCAACCTTCCTATAAATGCTCCTATGTTGGTATCAGGGAACTAAGAAGCTGGTTAAAGTGATACAATAAGACATTTAGGTCTGTTGCCTTAGAACTTCGTAACGTCAATGGTGAAGGCCCTGCAGTGTTAACTGCAGCAGAGGTCTGTTCTTTGTTCTTCATGGACATGTTTTTCTCTCTGTTCATAAAACAACTCCAGCAAAATACCCAGTTTAATCAGATTATGTTACACTATTACACCAAATTATCATAAACTAATCCCAGTTCAGACAGTGGACAGTTATGTATTGTTTGTATTTTATAAAATTACCATTTCACACTGCAACAAATGTAATTTGTATAAGCGGGTGTAGAAAGAAACCAATTTTGTTGGTGTGTGCCAGAGTGGTAGACTCTTAATTGAGTGGGTTCATGGCCTAGTGCTGATGTTTTAAAGCTGCATATCCTTTCTGAGCTCCAACCATGATTAGATCTCTTATCTGTGACCACACCGTTTATCAAAGGGTAAATAGTGTGTCTGCGCTGTACTATAGTCTTTTGAAAAATCTCCTCTTTTGGTGTTATCATAACATTGCTTTGCATACCCATTACAATCTCTTATATCTCAGCCTATTATTGATCCTGTGCAAACAACAACAAGCTGAGTTACGCTTTTGGGCTCATCAGTGGCAAGAAAGCATCACACAAAGCCTGCTGCCAATTCTGTGGCAGTCTGCTTGCGTGCCTTGTCATGTGCATATGAAAAGCCACTGTTGTGCATGACAGACT